TCCTGTACCTCCAGAGACTTAAGCTCACAGAAGTTTTTCCAAATGAAAATAATCCAAGAGTCTCTATTTACTTAATGGCCTACCTTCCTTTGGAAGGGAATCAGAGCTTCTAGGTTAGCGGTTCTAAAACTCTGGGGTGATAAATGTCACCATAGGAGCTTGAGGAGAAAAGCAGACTGGTTGAATTGGTTTGCTCTGGGGCTCAGGTTTTGCCTTATTTACTTTTTTCAGCTCCCAAGGTGAGGCTGATGCAAATGGTGAGGAGACGCCAGTTGGATGGGTATTGGCCAAACACCCCTGTCATCCTTGGCTGGGCTTCTGTAGGTGCGAGAAGAGCTGCTGAAGGGCTAGAGTAATTGCCTTCTGCCTATCAGGAGACCCCCTGGGCTTTACACGGCACATATCCATCTTCACTTCCCTCTTAAGAATAACTTTCAGAGGGACATTGGTTTTTTTTGCAAAAAGATGTTTCCTTGAGGGAAACATGGAAGTCAGTCATTCTCTGGAGCTGTCTGATGTCTGTAGGTGATGAATGACCCTCCACACATGCACACAACACAACCATAACTCTCCCGGGATGCAGATGTGAAATCTACTGAGAAACTCTCTTTCTCTTTTTTTCAAAATGGCCCTAGGAAGCCAATCTATCTTTCAGGTCCAGGAAGATGCAGAGGCCTGAAAGGGTTTGGGTGAGCCACTTTGGTGGGGACCCAGGTCCACGAGAGGAAGTGTAAAGCTCTATTCCCTCAGCACTGGAGAAGGAAGATTCTGCCGCAGCTTCGTGGCTCGGCCATGTTCCTGCTGTACCGGATGCTGTATTTCACAATTGACTATTTATTTATTGTGCATTCGCCATATGCCCATCTTTGCTCCACGTGGGTTGCAGAAGCCCTCAGGAGCCTGAAGTCTTGCCATTGCCTGGGGGAAGGCAGGTAACACAGTCTGTAACAGGATTATTTACTGGCTGGCTTTGTTCCTAAATGCTATGGAGAAATTTTTTTTTAAGTATGAACCAGGGAGGACTACCATCTATAATGAATAAACTACAAATGTTAGCAGAATATAGTATAGGTTTGTTTCTTGCTCACATCACCATCCAATGTGGATCAAAGGAAGGCTTTTTCCAAATACTCATTCTGATTCACCTCCCTTTTACCCAATGGCTTCCATCATCCCCATGGGCCTCAGGGTCTCTGTCCAGCCACCGAGGCAAGAACAAGATCATGGAAGGTCAAGTAGGGCAACCTAGAGTCCATCGCAGCCAACGCCCCAGGGACGAGAGGTCCATGCTGTGCCCACCCACCTGCCCAATGCAGGGGAAGGAGAGATACGTACAGCAGCCAAGCACTGCAGGGAAAGGAGGCTGGCCTCATGTACACGTGTGGGCAACATTCTCACTGTCGTACCAGGTGCCAGGGGTGGTGAGGAACGGGGCTGCAGAGGTGCTTTTTAATTTTTACCTAACATCAGTGGTCAGGGAAAACCACTCTGGGGAGATGACATTTCAGATACAGTTGGATGGTGGACAAAGATCCACGCATGGGCAGAGCCAAGAAAAGAGGGCTCTAGACAGAGGGATGGTGTGTGCAAGCTCCTGCAACAGCATGAGCTGAGTGTGCTGGGAGACTCAAGGGAGAAGATTAGGGAATTTAGAGTGAAGGAACTGAAGTTTAAGAAAACTATAGACTGGGCGCAGTGGCTCATGCTTGTAATCCCAGCACTTTCCTAGGCCAAGGCAGGTGGATCATTTGAGGTCAGGAGTTCAAGAGCAGCCTGGCCAATGTAGTGAAACCCCGTTTCTACTAAAAATACAAAAATTAGCCGGGCCTGGTGGTGTCCTCCTGTAGTCCCAGCTGCTCGGGTGGCTGAGGCATGAGAATCTCTTGAGAGGTTGAAGCCACTGAAGTCGGAGGTGAGAATGAAGTAGAGGAAGAGTTTCATGATTATTATTACAGAATCGTGAGACTGGCTTTATTCCAGACGATGGAGATAGCTACAGGCATTACCGTAACGAGCATTTGCAGGATGGGAGATACTGGGCTTAACTCAAAATACAATAAGTACAAGTGGAAATTTATAGCCAAGGGAGCAGGGTGAGGGTCTGGGAAAGGAAGATTACAAAGAGAAAGCCTTTTGTAAAAAAAAAAAAAAAAAAAAAAAAAAAAAAAAAAAAAAAAAACGAAAAGAATAAAGCCAGAAGAAGATGTAGAAATGCTTATCATTTCATGGTTCTTCTTTACAAAGGGTGGGGGCAGAGGTGGATTCTGGCTAAACTGACCTGAAAGGATTCTTGCTGAAGGCAGGCCAGGGTGATCAGACATCATCATGGAAGGAAGGTGGCAGAGGAGAGCCCTGATTAGATGAGAGGTGGAGGGTGAGCAGGCGTGGAGAATGGGAGATTCTGGCTAAACCGACTTAGTGGGAGTCTTGCAAAAAGTGGACAATGCAGAGATGAATGTGGAATCCCACAAGGTAGGGCCTCATCAAGAAGAGAGTTCACGGGAGCCTGACTACAGTTTGGTCCTGGAGAGAAGAGGCAGGAAAGGGATGAGACCAGAGAGCAGGGTGGAGGCAGGTTGTGCTGAGCTCTGGGGGCCACACCGGGCACCTGGACTGTAGGACATGGGCAACAAGTGACATGAACTGATGCACAGTGTTAGGACCATGCTTTAAAATGGCATTTCCAAAACTCGGCACCGATGGCACAGATAGGTACTCTAGGAGACTGAGAGATAAAGATAATTCCTTTCCTAAAGAACACGCAAGAAAGAAGTCATCAGATCCTGCCTATTTGTATTTCAGGGTCATGGTGAGTGAGACAGAAAATACATGCTTTAACAATTCAATGAAATTGATGAGGCCTGGAGTGGTCAGAGAGAAAAGCAGGGAAATTGGAACTGAAAGGACTGTGAGCATCTGGAAAGCAAAGGGGAGGTGGGAGGGAGAAGGGGCTCCAGGCAGGGTCTACACCAGCAGACACAGAAGGGGCATGAAGCGTATTTGGGGAATCCAGGAGAGTCTCAGGCTGGGACGCTCGCCTCCGGTGAGAAAAGAGACTCCGCAGCTCCCCGAGAAGACATCAGCATCATGACCGCACTCCTTGAGGCCAATTGCCTAATATGAAATTACACTGAACCCTGAATTAGATGGTGGCGTTGTTTTCCTGGATAACGAGGGCCAGAACAGGTCCCCAATAATTCTGAGCGCATTTGCTCTTTCCAGGCCAGCTGGTCGTTGATGGGTGACCTTAATAATTTAACTTGATTCATGAGAGGGTACAAATTGCTGCTCTAAAGGGCTGGAAAATGTGTTGCTTTCTCGGCCAGGGATCTCAGTGGGGATGTAATTGTGCTGGGTCAGGAAGGTGTCATCAGCGCCCCAGAGCTGCTATCCAACCACAAGGAAGGGCCGGGTCCGAGGGCAGGTACAGGCAGGATTCTGTTCCTCCAGGCTCATTATTTCAAGGAGATTAGCTCTGTCTCATTAACACTCCTTGTATGTACTGGTCCTAGGCGAATTCCAGAACTGTGTTTCCACCGAGCCAAACTTGCATTAATTTGTACATTACACCTTAGAAAAGACTTGGGCATGCTGATACAATTAACAACCCTTTATTTCATATTTTGGTAAGATAAGGGAATTTAGAATGAAAGAACAAAAGTTTAAGGAAATAATAGGTCAGGCACAGTGGCTCATGCCTGTAATCCCAGCACTTTGGGAGGCCAATGTGGGCGGATCATTTGAGGTTAGGAGTTCCAGAGCAGCCTGGCTAACATAGTGAAACCTCGTTTCTACCAAAAATACAAAAATTGGCCAGGCGTGGTGGTATCCTCCTGTAAACCCAGCTTCTCAGGAGGCTAAGGTATGAGAATCACTTGAACCCAGGAAGCGGAGGTTGCAGTGAGCTGAGATCACACCACTGCACTCCAGCCTAGGTGACAGAACAAGACTCCGTCTCAAAAAGAAAATAATAAAGCCAGAACAAGATGTAGAAATGCTTATCATATCATGGTCCTCTGCAATACCTAGATCACATTCAGAAATTTATCCTGAATTTCTCAGCATCCAAAAGAAGAAGGGAAATATCCTTACATCAAAGCAAACCAGTTGCTAAGAAGCATGCAGCTTCTGCTCCTGAGACCTGAAAGGAACTTCTCACACATGTGCTAATAAAGAGAATTTGGTTAAAAGAAACGATTTTTTTTAAATGTCTGTTTCTAATGCTCGCTGATGCAGGCTAATAGCAGGAAACTACAATGCAATTTAGGAAAATAAAGTTTATGAAGAACAAAAAACTGCAGTGGTTTTGAATAATCCGAGGATAAAATTTTAAACACGGAATACTGTGTGGGCTGAATGACCCTAGGCAACCTTCCAGAAAACAAGCCCAAATAAGAGTGTTGAGTGCTGAGAAAAGGCAACCGCTGTGTCTTCATTCAAAAGACACCTGGTCCATAACTCAATTGTTCAATAGGGGGTCTTGTGCCTGGCACTAGGAATAGATAAGTGAGTAGCTATGTCTCCTGTCCTCAAAATACTTATAGTCTATTTAAGGAGACAGATGTATGGACAGATTATTGCAATTGCAACATGCCGTGTGTGCCTTGCGGGGGAAGAGAAGGGAAAAATAAACCTCATCATTAGCTGAGCTGCTGCTGGCTCATGACTCGGGGAGCAACTGATATGAGAGGTCTTCTAACATTCTGTTTCTCTAGCAATGGGAATTTTGACCTGCTGCAGCAGCGGTGAGGTTTCTTACCTCCAGGTCACTGTTTGATTTAAATTTGATTTTCTTTTCTCCCTTTTCATTGTCCCTGTTTTCCAAGAGTAAAAGGTAGAATGGGAAATAAAGAAAAACGCACTTTAGTCTTGAAAAATTACAATCAAGATAAGTTAATTAAAACTGACAAAACATTTCTGTAGAAAAAGTGGGCCCAGCCTCTCTGATTTTGGAAGCTACCACAGTGATTAAAATAACACTCGATCTGCTTGTGTTGCAGGCCAGTACCAGAGGGTTAACAAGCCTCTCCCCGACTGGGTAAGTCAGCTGCTTCCCCTATCTATTTTTCTCAGTCTTTCATATTTGCAGAGTAGGTGGATTTTTTTTCAAGGTACTTGGTGAAATTTTTAAAAATCAATAGCAACGACAAGAAAATAATAATAATAAGTTTTCCAAGTGGCATACTTTCCTGGCAAGAAAAACTACGTTTTAATTCTTGGGTATAAAACTCTATTTCAATTCCTCAGCTATAAAATGGAAATAAAAATTAATTAACATGGTCATTGTGAAGGCCGATAAAGTGAAAATACCAACACACTGGGCTGGCAAGTGCATTATGAGAAATGCACTTCCTAACACTCATAGTAAAATTTCAAATTGAGATAAACTTTCTTGAGAGCAATTTTATAATACTAAGTAAGTAACATCGAACATGTGTTAGAAACATAGTCTCCAAATTCATATGTTGATATGAATTACTGCCTTTGGGCAGTAATTAGATTTAGATAAGGTCACCTGTTAGGACCCCCCATGATGGGGCTGGTGACTTTATAAGAAAAGAGAGACCTGGGCCAGCGCTCACCCGCCTAGCATGTGACGCTCTGGGCCATGCTATGATGTCGTAAGATGGCCCTCACCAGATGTGGCCTCTCAACCTTGGACTTCCCAGCCTCCAGAGCTGTAAGAAATAAATGGATTTTTAAATCAATTAGTCAGTCATATATTCTGTTATAAGAACAGACATGAACTAAGATAACACCATTTGGACAGAGTCAAAATTATAGATGCAACCACACCTAGAACCCTTCGAATTCTCTGCTCTTTATTTTCGAGGTGCAAAACAAATTTTATTTATTTATTTATTTTTAATTTTTAGAGACAGAGCCTCACTCTGTTACCCAGGCTGGAGTGCAATGGTGTGATCTCAGCTCGCTGCAAACTCCACTTTCTGGGATTCAGCAATTCTCATGCCTCAATCTCCTTTGTGACTAGAATTACAGGCACGAACCACCACGTTTGGCTAATTTTTGTATTTTTAGTAGTGACTGGGTTTTGCCATGTTGGCCAGGCTGGTCTTGAACTCTGGACCTCAAGTGGTCCACCCGCCTCAGCCTCCCAAAGTGCTGGGACTATAGGTGTTAGCTGCCACACCCAGACATGCAGAACAAATTTTAATTCTTTATGCTGAGTTCCACTGGGGATGTGGAGGGGAGACTCGTTTGGGCCCACCTACCACATCTGTGATCTTCGTGACTTTGGAAAGTTACCAATTCTAGTTTTTATATTTGTAAAAGGAGGATAAAATTTCAGCTTTGAGGGCCAGATTGGGGAATGTGCATGAAAATATGTTTCTTTTCATCCTTTTGAGCTCTCGGCATCACATGCTGCTGCTTAAATCTTACAAAGCTTCACGTTTTAGCACCTGGATTTCACTCTCAGGCCCAAATGAAAACCAAACACAGTTTTGCAAATGAGGCAAGAGGTGAGCATTCTGAGATGCAGGGAGGATAAACAATTGCTCGGTGGCTCCACATGATGATGAAGGAATGCAGGATCAAGAGTCGTGTCCCTGCTTATGTATAACACAATGCTGGCTGCAGATTCTAATGCAGAGGTGCATGTCCCAGAATTCCTATGATGACCATTGCATGTGAGTGCATCTGTTGGGGACTGGTGTCCATTCCTGCCAGTCCAGCATTCAGACCCAGAGCCTTTGATGAGTACCTGTGTTAGTCTCCTAGTGTTGCCATCACAAAGTGCCGTTATCTGGATGGCTCAAACAACAGAAGTTTATTGTCTCATGACTCTGAAGACCAGAGGTCCAAGATCAAGAGAACTATCCCCTTGTGATGCAAATGACTACCCTCTCCCTGTGTGCTCACATGGCCTTTCCTCAGTGTGTACATTCAGGGAGCCGTGGGGAGAGAGAGGGAGAAACCCAGAGAGAGAAAGAGAGAACTCTCTGGTGTCTCTTTTTATAAGAACACTAATCCTATCAGATAAGAACCCCTTATGACCTCATTTAACCTGAATTACTTTTTTAGAGGTAACATCTTCAAATATAGCCACACTGATGATTAGGGCTGCAACATACAAATAGTGTGTGAGCAGGAGGGCGTAGGGTGGGGGTAGAGAAACATTTAGTCTCTAATGATAACCAGAGCAAAAACTAAGGTTAGAGAGAAGTTGTTAAGGCCATCTTTTATGGTAACTGTTCTTATTAACAGTACGGATATGTCGGAATCCCATTTTACAGATGAAAAAACGAAGCTTCAGGGCGAAGGCATATCTCCAATGTAGCAAAGTGAACACTTTAGTCAAATGAAGAGTTTAGTCCCAAGACACTTACTCCACCTCAAATGAGCAATACCAACAGTCTATAACCTGGTGTCCTGGCTCCATTTCCAAAACGGAAAAATGACAAAAAATGGCAGCCTTGGCCAATTCACTTGGCGGGGGGCGGGGCTGGGGGTTTATGATCCCATAGAATTTTCTCAACTATGCATTTTACCTAAATTCTCTCACCTAAACTTGATTGAATGAATTAGAATTTCAAAAGTGATGGTACCAGCTTTAGCACAAAATTTCACCTTGCAGTTGCTTTTATTGTGATGGTGTTACGTTTTAGAACAACATACAGAGAGTGGTGTCACTTCTTGAGGCCCATGCTTAACGATAAAGACCCAAATAACTGCATCAGTCTTCCGTTGCTGCCATGACACTTCCCCACAGATTTGGCAGCTTGACCACGTATTATCGCACGGTGGATGCAATCAGAAGCCTGGGCACAGCATGGCTCAACTAGTTCCCCTGTTCTGGGTCTCACAAGTCTGAAAGCAACATGCTGGCAGGGCTACATCCTCCTCCAGGGGCTCTGAAGAGGCACTTGCTTCCATAGCATCCAGTTCCTTTCTGTTGTAGGACTGTGGTCCCCATGTCCTTGCTGGCTGACTGTTGTCAAATCCTTCTACTGTTGAATTCTCTGTAAATTGTCCTTCTCCAAGATCACTCCTTCTTTCTCTTCTACTTCCTTTCTCTGGCTTCCTCTTCTGCTTTTTAAAGCAGCTGTTTTTGAGATAAAATCTACATGCCACTGAATTTACCCATTTTATGAGTCCAGTTCAATGGCTTTTTAGTATATTCACAGAGTTGTATAACCATTACTCCAATCAATACATTTTTATCATCTCAAAATGAAACGCACTTTCCCTCTTCCCCCAGCCCTCGGCAAATATCAGTCAACTCTTTATTTGTAGGTCCTCCTGTTCTGGACATTTCATATGAACAGAATCATGCAACATTCTCTTTTGTATATGACTACCTTCTTTCATTTAGCATAATATTGTCAAGGCTCCATCTTATAGCATATACCAGTATTTTATTCCTTTTCATTGCTGAATAATATTCCCTTGTGTGACTATATAACACTTTATTTACTTATTCAGCAGTCCATGGACATTTGGGTTATTTCTAATCTTTTAAGAATAACACTGCTATAAAATATGTGCTAGTTTTTGTGTGAATGTGGAATTGCTGGATTATATGGTAGCTCTGTGCTTAACCTTTTGAGGAACTGCCAAAGTGTTTTTCACAATAGCTGCACCCTATTACATTCCCATCAGCAATGCATGAGAATCCCAAATTCTCCACATTATTGTCAATCCTCAATATTATCTTTTTAAAATCATCTTGTTGGTATATATATGGCTGACATCTCATTATGCTTTTGATTTGCATTTTCTTTTCTTTTTTTAAGATGGAGTCTCACCGTCACCAGGCTGGAGTGCAATGGCATGATCTTGGCTCACTGCAACCTCTATCTCCTGAGTTCAAGCGATTCTCCTGCCTCAGCCTCCCAAGTAACTGGGACTACAGGCACATGCCATCCTGCCCAGCTAATTTTTTTGTATTTTTAGTAGAGGCGGGGTTTCGCCATGTTGGCCAGGATGCTCTCGATTTTCTGACCTCCTGATCTGCCTGCCTTGGCCTCTCAACATGCTGGGATTACAGGCGTGAGCCACCATGCTCGGCCAATTTGCATTTACTTTTCTTTTTTTTTTTTTTTTCTTTTTTTGAGACAGAGTTTCACTCTTGTTACCCAGGCTGGAGTGCAATGGCACGATCTCAGCTCACCACAGCCTCCACCTCCTGGGTTCAGGCAATTCTCCTGCCTCAGCCTCCTGAGTAGCTGGGATTGCAGGCATGCACCACCATGCCCAGCTAATCTTTTTTGTATTTTTAGTAGAGACGAGGTTTCACCATGTTGACCAGGATGGTCTCGATCTCTTGACCTCGTGATCCACCGCCTCAGCCTCCCAATGCATATCCTTAATGTCTAATAATACTGAACATCTCTCCATGGGATTATTGATGATTTGCATATCTTCTTTGAAGAAGCATCTATTCAGATCCTTTAGCTACTTTAAAATTTGGTTATTTGTCTTTAAATCATTGAGTTGTAAGAGTTTTTCATGTATTTTGGATTTAAGCTCCTTATCAGATACATGATTTGCAAATATTTTCTTCATTCTATAGTTGCTTTTTTATTTTTTGTGGTCTTTTGAAGCACACAAGATTTTCATTCTAATTAAGTTCAATTTATCTATTTCTTTTATTGCTTGTATTTTTTGTTCCAAGAAACCATTGCCTAAGCCAAGAAATGAAGATTTACTCCACTATTTTAAGAGTTTTATAGGTTTAGCTGTTAAATTTCTATGCATGGCCCATTTGTATTTAATTTTTGCACATGATATAAAAAAAGAGGTTTGACTTCACCCTCATGCATGTGAATATCCAGTTGTCCTCGGACTGTCTGTTAAAAGACTATCCTTCCCATCAGCGAATTGTCTTAGCACACACTTAAAAATCAATTAACCGTCAGTATGAAGGTTGACTTCTGGGCTCTCAATTATATTCCATTATCTACATGTCTGTCTTACTGCTAATACCACATGTCTTGATTACTGCATCTAGGTAGTAACTTTTGAAATAAGTGTCCTCCAACTTTGTCTTTTTTTTTGCCCAAGATTGTTTTGGCTATTCTTGGTTCTTATTTTCATAAGAATTTTAGGATTATCTTGTCAATTTTTGCAACAACAACAAAAAAAATAAGTGTATCAATTTTCAAAGTGTTTCTATTTTAACAGTGTTAAGTTTCCCAATCCATGATCATTGCTTGTCTTTCCATTATTTAGGTCTTCTTAAATTACTATCAACAGTGTTTTGCAGTTTTCAGTGTACAGGTTTTACACTTCTTTTGTTAAATTTATTTCTATATATTTTATTCTCCTTGATGCTATTGCTAATATAATCATTTTCCTTTTTAAAACATTTTTGTACAGATGAGGCCTCACTCTGTTGCCCAGGCTGTTCTCAAACTCCTAGCCTCAAGCAATCCTCCTACCTCAGCCTCCTAAAGCACTGGTATTACAAGCACGAGCCACTGCACCTAGCCCATTTTCTTTCTATTTTCAATTTGTTAGCACTAATTTATAGAAATATGAATTTTCATTACTAGTATATAGGAATACAACTGAATTTGGTATATTAATCATGTATGACACCTTGAGGAATTGTTTATTAGATCTAATAATTTTTTAGTGAATTCTTTAAATATAAGATTATCTTATTTGCAAATAGGTCCTCTTTTTGCTTCTAAGGGCTCATGTGATCACATTGGTCCCACCCAGGTAATCCAGGATAATCCCCCTATTTTAAAGTCAGCTGATCAGTGACCTCCATTACATCTGCATTGTCCCTTCACAGTAGTACCCAGATTAGTATTGATTAAGTAATCAGAGATGGAAATATTGGGAGATCTCTTTAGATTTCTCACTAGCACAAGAATTAAGCTTCCATTTAAGACCTCAGATGCTAGACTCTTAAATACTTAACTTGCAGCTAAGAAAATCTACTCCACTCCTGCACTGTAGTCTTTCTTTGTCAACATTGTACCTTCCTTTGACTCACTGGAATGTTACCACCTGCTTAGGAAAGAAACTTTCCTGCACTCCTGGATGGAGCAAAAAGCCGCAGTAATGATGACTACGAAGACCCTGAACTTCAGATGGAAGAGACGTGGCAGTCGATTAAAATCTTACCAGCCCGCCCTATAAAGGAATCTGAATACGCAGGTAACGTTTGGGGGTCTGCCTAAAATATGAAGATGCATGTACCTGCTGCCATATTGCACACTATTTAAAGGTGCGATTTCTGAATTAAACAACCCTAGGTTAACATCTGCCCCTGTGACTTACTAGCTGGTGACCTTGAGAAAGTCTCTCAAATTCACTTTCTCTATCTGAAAATAGGATTCATAATAATAGAAGTTGCCCTAGAGAGCTCTTTTGAAGATTAGATGAATGATGCCTGTTGAGTTCTCACCAGAGGACCTGGTACCAAGCCAGAGATCTGTAACTCTCAGCCACTGTTATCGTGATGCCCTCCTTTAGCCCTAGAACAAATGATGAGCATAACAGAGGGTGGACAGGCAGGGATGGGGCAGCGTGGGAAATGTGAAGATGAGGTCTGCATAGAAGGCAGATTTTTTTTTAAAAAAAAAAGGCTTTTTAATTTGGTTAATTCATTTTTCACTCAGCCAGCCTATGAGCATCAGCAGGGCATGACAGCAGAGCTGCAATTGTTAAGAATAAAGAGGACCTAATTTCTAATTTCACACCTGCCTCTGTCTCTAACTGCAGCACATAGGGCAGCTTCAGCGAGTTCCTTGAGATAAAACACCCTATTGTAAGGGAAAAGAGAAAGCATTCACAATTTCCGAGGGCCTGAACCACTAAAATAAATCTATTGAAGTGTATTTGGAGAAAAACATCTTGTAAATGATGATGACTTTTTTTGTTCATTCATTCAACAAGCATTCATTGAGCATCACTATGTGCCAGTTTCCATGTTAGGATTGATCAGGGCACACAAAGACAAACAATGCATGATCCCTCCTAATTGTATGTGTTTGTAGATGTGCAGATATTTTGTAAATTGTAATGTGCGGAGTCCACATAAGGTATGACTTTAATATTTTTCTGTTTGCACAGATACACGCTATTTCAAGGGTGCAATGGACATTTCCCTTCCATTAGACACCAGGACCTCTATCCCCATTGGACAGCAAGCCTGGAACACACAGACGAAGTTGGAAAGAGTGAGTAAAGGCTAGACCTTGTGACCCAAACATGTATAGGGCTCTTCCTAACCAGCCAGAAACTGCCCCATCTCCTGTCCCTCAGGCGATCTCATTAGGGAAAGAGCAGATCGAGCTCATTGAGATGGACAGGAGGTGACTCTTATGACTGGTAGCATCATGACCCTACCTCTAGAAGCAAGGAGAATTCAGATGTCTTGAAGATTGTGAGCCAGAGAGCAAGCTAAGGACATTCACATGCTTCTCATCTAATGTTCATTGCATTCTCCAGAGAAAGAACATGAACTCAAGTCTTTCTCATCATAATATAAGATTTTGTCCAGAGTCTCAGCCCAACGTGGTGAATTATGAGCTGGGAGGTAAAAGTAAGTCATGAAACTTCTCTAAGCCTCCCCGTAACTTTATCTACCAAACAGGGAAAAACAGAAAATCCTACCATGCTTATTTCAAAACGCTGTTTGAAAGCTATGAAAGATAATTTTGCACCACTGAACTCCAGCCTGAGCGACAGAATGAGACTCTGCCTCAAAAAAAAAATCTAGTAAATGCAAATGCCATAACTGAATACATAGAATTTTATTTTTAATAAAACATTTCCTAACACTCCATTTTTTTTTTTTTTTTTTGAGATGGAATCTCACTCTGTTGCCCAGGCTAGGGTGCAGTGGTGCAATCTCAGCTCACCACAACCTCTGCCTCCTGGGTTCAAGCAATTCTCTGCCTCAGCCTCCCCAGTAGCTGGGATTACAGGCTCCCCCCACCATGCCCGGCTAATTTTTGTATTTTTAGTAGTTGTGGGTTTCACCATCTTGGTCAGGCTGCTCTTAAACTCCTGACCTCGTGATCTACCCCCCTCACCCTCCCAAAGTGTTGGGATTACAGGTGTGAGCCATCACACCCAGCCAACACTTAATTTTCTTAATAGAGAAATGCAAGAGATTGCCCCTGGGATTGCAGTTATCCGTCATAACATTGTGGTGCTCGTCACTGTCAGTATTTTCTATGCAGATGTCTGTCATACAAGGGAGGCCTAATTGTTATGTATATACCTGCTTTGTTTTTCTTCTCGCAGAAAGTTCTGGTTACAAAACAATTTCCCATGTGATAAGCAAGCATTCATAAACATCATTTTTATAGATAAAGCATAACCCATTATGGGATTTTCAAATTGTTTTACTAAACCACTCAGTGAAGACATTTTAAAGGCTTTTAATATATATTGTAAAATTTCCTTTCTAAAAAATTATTTCCATTTACCCTCCCAGAAGCCCTATATAGGAATGTCCACCCCCTCAGAAATATCATCAAAACTGGCTATTATATTTTCAATTGCATTTTTTAAGAAGAGATCTCACTATGTTTTTTTTAGTTTGCACCACAGTTATGATTGAGTATTACAGTGCTTTCAAATATTCCTCACGCATTACATATTCACATTGTCTATTTAACTTGAGGGATTCTGTTCATTTGGACAGAAAAATGAAACTACAAATTTTACCAAGCAAGACCGACCGTTTACACAGAAGATATCTGATAGAGATTAAGGGGGCAAGACGACTGATGAAAAATCAAACACTTCCTTTTTACACAGGCACAGCAATGATGGAAAAACACCTCAATCATTCACTCAACAAATTCATTCAAGAACTGTGTCATCAATGCCTGCTAGGATCAGACACAATTATAGACTCTAAAGATACATCCGTGAACGACCAATTCCCTGCTCTCAAGAAACATATATGCTAGTGGTAGGAGACCAATAATAAATAAATACACAATAAACAATAGATAAGCAAATGTGCTTTGAAAAATAATGATAATGCAGGATAAGGAAGGTCAAGGAAAAAAATTCTCAGTAGAGATAGGACTGAAAGAATGAATGCCATTTAATCCTTAAAACAATCTTGCACCAGGAGCGGTGGGTCACCCCTGTAATCCCAGCACTTTGAAAAGCTGAGGCAGGTGGATCACAAGGTCAGTAGTTTGAGAACACCGTGGACGATATGGTGAAACTCTGTCTCTATTAAAAATACAAAAATTAGCCAGGGTGGTGACAGGCGCCCGTAGTCCCAACTATTCAGGAGGCTGAGGCAGGAGAATCACTTGAAACAGGGAGGTAGAGATTGCAGTAAGCCAAAATTGCACCACTGCGCTCTAGCCTGGGCAACAGAGCGAGACTCGATCTAAAAAAAAATAAAAATAAAACACAACAATCTTGCAAAATCATCACTCTCATTTTAATGGCTCCAATTTTATAAGCTCTGTGCCTTTGGACCTGTTACCCTCTCTGAGCCTTCATGGTCTTACCTGTAAAATTCCATTACTGTTATAGTAATACATAGAAAACACAGTATTTCTATGTACTTTCAGCACAAAGGCTGAGGTGGGAGGATCACTTGAGCCTGGGAGTTTGAGGCTGCAGTGAGCTGAGACTGTGCCACTGCACTTCAGCCTGAGTAAGATCCTGTCAAGAAAAGAAGGAAAGAAAAGGGAAAGGGGAAGGGGAATGGGGAGGGGAAGAAAGGAAATGGAACTTCAGTAAGATCCCATGAATGGATCTTTGTACTTCCAGCCTGAAGCACAAAGCAATCAGTCCATAGACGACATCTGTATGAGGTCAGGTGCTATTTTAGCCCCAGCACCTAGCATGGTGCCTTTGTAAGAGGTTTTCAACAGATACTGGTTAAATGAATGAAAAATAACAAACTTTCAATCATTTGAACTCAAGCTTTAAAAATAAATACCTGTTTAATAGGAAGAGAGACAGAGTCCTTCCCCAGTTCAACTTCCGTTCACGAAGAAGACTTTCTCAGTCTGACCTTCAAAATCCTTCTACTTTCCTGCTATTATTTGCTACTATCGTCAAGATCCGCATCTAGGGCAGTCCCCTAGGGGCTGTGTGAGAGGGAGGAGGGCATTTCAGAACACTCATCACCAGAGCATAAAACACAGTCACAGAAGGAGCATTCCAGGGAGACTGGACCAGCGGCTGAAGGAGGGAACGCTGAGCCAAAAGTTGAGCTGAACCTTCCCTGTGAATGACTGACAATCCCTTTTTACATATGTAAGCCTTCATGAGTAGAATTACTGTTTCACAACGGACAATTCTCATCTGATTATTTTAAAAACAACCGTGCCAGGATTTAAGCCTTTATTCTTACACTTTCCGTTCCTTCGTATCATGTTTGTAGCTTCCTGTTAAAAACAAGCTTCCTTTGGTTAGATGGCTTTGTAGGTGGAACTACAATCTCAGTACATTAAGCCAAGTGAAATCATGCGAGGAAAAAGGCTAGGGCAAGGTGTGCACGATTTTGGAGGGGCATTGTCTCACGAATTCAACACGTGTTTGGCCTCAATTCAGATAAAGAAGAAGTTTTAGCCAGGTGCGGTGGTTCATGCCTGTAATCCCAACATTCTGGGAGGCCGAGGCAGGTGAATTGCCTGAGCCCAGGAGCTCAATCAAAACCAGCCTGAGTAACATAGTAACATCTCATCTCTTTAAAAACATGAAAAAAAGAATAGCTGGGCATGGTGGAGCATGCCTGTAGTCCCAGCTACTCTGGGGACTGAGGTGGGAGGATCACCTGAGCCTGGGAGGTTGAGGCTGCCGCGAGCTGTTATCCTGCCACTTCACTCCAGCATGAGTGACAGAACGTACAAAATAGAAACCAATGCGGGGGTTGTTTTACTTTTGTAATCCATGTTGTACATGCCAAGCATTTATCAAGCAGATTATCTTTTTTGTGGCAATCTCATTCGTAGGAGTTGATTCTCACTAGTTCTGCACATTTTTGCTGTGATTAAACTATCTGTGAAATGTATCTTCAGCCAGGTGTGATGGCTCACACGTGCAGTCCCCATGTTTTGGTAGGCCGAGGCAGGTGGATTGCTTCCGCCCAGGAGTTCAAGACCAGCTTGGGTGACATGGTGAAACCCCATCTCTACAAAAAGTACAAAAGATGCATGCCTGTAGTCCCAGCTACTTGGGAGGCTGAAGTGGGAGGATCACTTGAGCCCGGGAGGTCAAGGCTGCAGTGAACTAAAATCATGCCACTGCACTCCAGGCTGGATGACAGAGTGAACTCCAGCCTGAGCAACAGAGTGAACTCCAGCCTGAGCAACAGAGTGAGACCCTGCCTCAAAGGGAAAAAAAAAAGAAAAAATGAAATGGATCTTCAATAATTTTTATATGGGCCAGTTCTTATCTAGACCCTTAGATGGGTTACAACTGTCTTGCCCATCCTTCTATTTATTGAGCATGTACTGTGTACCAAGCACTGTGCTTAGCGATGAGGGTAGAAAGGCGAACCGGTGTCCACAGTCTAAGGGAGGAGGCACTGACCCAGATGGGCAGTTTCTGTGTTCTAGGAAGTGCTCAGATGGAGGTGAGCACACCAGTGCCTTTGGAGGAGTCTTAGGAAAGAAGCCATGCAGTGCAGTAGTACATGCTGCGTTGTGATCAGTGGTGCTCGGTGGAATGTTTCGGCCCCCCCAGGGACTTTTGACAAAGTCTGGTGACATTTTTGGTTGTGCTGACTGAGTGCTACTGACATCTAGTGGGGAGAAGACAGGGATGTTGCTAAGCATCGTACAAGGCACAAGAATTATCTGACCCGAATCTCAATTCTCAATAGTGCCCAAACTGAAAATCAGTTAAATGCACCTGTGAATCCAAGCTCCTACTTCTCTTTGCTCCCTCGCAGTCTAGCATTGCTACAGGCACGTAGTAGGCACTAGCAAATATTTATCTGATAGAAATTGGAACTCTCCCCAGGGGTGGGGCAGGAAATATTCCTGGGCCTGGGAATTCTCTAGTAGTACTGCTGACCCTGAGCACGCAAGTCCCACCTGAGATGGAGACAACGGGGAACATCTGCGTGCGTGACCAGGCTAGCAACGCAGGGTGGGGCCTGAGCACTGAGAGAGACTCCCTCTGTGGAGCAGGCATGCAGGGAAGACTAAAAGATGAGGGTGCAACGAGAACATCGAAAAAACCCTCCAGCACCCCAGTCACCGTAAGGTAACTCTGGAGAAATTGGAAGCAAGTGGTGCAATGAAGGAGACAACGGCCATGATTAAAAAATCCAACCAGCACTCAACCCTGACTAGATATAACCCAAAGAAGAAGGGCCATGCCCTTTCCAGGCATAAATACTGTGGTTCGATGTTCCACAGAGGATAAGAGGTGACAGGGTATTCAATGAGCCCCTGACCCACCATGCCCAACTCAGCCTGGTGCCAATCAAGACTAATACAAAGAGCCTAATGTTAAGCTGGGCTTAAAGGTTTTCAGAGACATAGGGAACCCTTTATGACCTTCCTCTTCTTCACCCTTACGTCTTCCCATTGTGTACCCCTCAATCCTTCACTCGTGTCTTTAATAATATTAATAGTTCACTAATGTCTTTAATAGTGACACATTTATTCAGTGTGGTTAGTGTGTTCTTGACACATTGCATGGTGTGTTCTGTGTTATCCTCCCATCCTCAAGAAGGTATCAGTGTTTTTCTTACCTCCATTTCACAGATGAGGAAACTGAGCCTCAGAAGGCCGAGTAATTTGCCATGTCCTCACAGTCGGCAGGAGCTGGAGGTGGAATCCTAACGCAGCCCTTGTCACAAGGCCATACTCTGACCTGCCCGCCTCATTGCCTTCATGTACCTGATCCAATAGATGGATGTTCATGTTAACTCAGAGACATGAATGAGGCCGAGGTGGGTGGATTACAAGGTCAAGAGATCGAGACCATCCTGATCAACATGGTGAAACCCTGCCTCTACTAAAAATATAAAAATTAGCTGGGCATGGTGGCGCGTGCCTGTAATCCCAGCTACTCAGGATGCTGAGGCAGGAGAATTGCCTGAACCCAGGAGGCGGAGGTTGTGGTGAGCTGAGATCGTGCCATTGCACTCCAGCCTGGGTAACGAGAGCGAAACTCCGTCTCAAAAAAAAAAAAAAGATGACAAATCTGAAGTTTATAATATACTCAATGCTTTTTACAAAGCCAGCAATAGAGGCAGGATTGGTTCTCAACCCCACATGTTTTTATACCAAACACCCCTCAGGCCACTGCACCCTTCACTGGCAGGGGTGCATGTATTTATACTTGTTTGCTGACAGCCAACCATACATTGAAAACCAGAGGGTTTAGGGACTTATGGCTTTATCCTGGGGAACCTCACCACAGAGAGTGTCGAGATCACAGATGGTCTCATAGTCACAACTGAAGATATAATGGTGCCACGTTGTCTTGTACAGGTGGACAAACCCATGTCCAAGGACATCAGGAGCCAAAACATAAAAGGTAAACTCATGTCACACGAAGTTTAAACGTAAGTATGAAAACATTTATTTTGCTTCTGAGAACCTCTTGCATTGTTGTTTGTGGTCATGCGTGATCTTAAGCAAGGTGATCTACTTAATTACACTTCAGGAAGTTACTAATTTTAGACAGAGTCTCGCACAGTTTACGCCTATTTATCACCTTACCTTATTAATGATGAAACTGATTGTGAAAACTCACATTCTCTGTGGTGCAATTTTGCAAATGAATTGTTTTGCAACATATGGATTGCATTAAATATATAATCACGTTATCTCTCTAAGCATACCCCCGAAAGTCACAAGATAGAAATCTAATTTTAAAGCGTCGATTAATTAATATGAAAACAGATTTTAAGGCTTTAGGCAAAACAACTCAATTTGAACACAAAAATGCAGGTACGAACCTGAAAGCAAATAATCAATTTCAGTAGTGCTAGAGGCATAAATGGAAGATAAGCCACAGAAATCTTAATGATATTGTATCCATTATAGCTTCTCTCGTCATTCCCTCATGCCCCTATCTCCTCTGACAATGTTTTACTGGAAAAGATGACAGTGCCAAGATTTACTGTCCCCAATAATTGAAACATATCAAACTCACTTTTCATGTGTCTAATGCTATCTTCTATAATGTATTACTAGCACCATCTTTTCTTTAAAGGGACGGTGTACCAGCAAGGGTCCCAACAGGAAATAGACTGCACATTCAAATTAGGATAATTTAAGGAAATGTATGCCAAAGGAACTATTTACCAGGTGTGGGCAGTATAGGGAGAAGAAGGGATGGTGCCAGAACACAGCTAACAGCAGTGGGACTGGCCCTACCCCCAGGTGCAAAGGGATGAGGAGACAGTTACTGAAAACTACAAGGAGCACACCACCTTGAAAGGAGCAGTGGTCACTGGACGCCACCTGCCCAGGTAGTCTTGGGGAGAAGATCAAGGGAGTAAACACCGAGCTCTTTCTCCAACCTCTCTGTGACCTCCTGCTTGGGCTTTCCAATGGGTACACCTAACTAGAAATGAGAGGACAGGGCAGTCCCTGTGTGTCCTTTCTGGTCAGTGTCCCAGGCAGAGAGCAGGGTAGAGCAGGGTGAAGCGGGAGGGAGGTTCTGGAGGGCAGATGGAAGACACTCAGAAGGAAGCACCAGCGCAGTGGAAAGAGCACGGAGAAGAGCTGAAACGCAAGCACACTCCCGGGCTGTGTAACCTTTCTAAGTCCTCCTTCTCCTTTTTGTCAACCAGCAGGTTAAAGAACGGCTGGTGAATTAACATAGAGGAAGTATTTTCACTTCTCTTAACAGAGAAAGGGATGGGCAGCATAGAGGGATCACAGACCAGACCAGGATCATCTGATACACAAATGGCCTCAGTCATCATAATATGCTTTGTAGGCATTCATTGAGAAATGAGTCCTGGAGAGAAATCAGATGAGAAATTAACTTCACAATTGCCATCTTATTTACAGTTCACTATGGGCATCCACCCTCATTTCTTTGGCTGCAGAAATTTATTTGACCATTATTTCACATATCAGTATGTCTGTTTACCTATCACCTGTATGTTTATCTACCTTTGCCTCAGTTCACAAAGATATTAGTTAGTAAAAGCTTGAACAATGAAACAGAAGAAAATCTAGATAGAGGACATAATTAAAATGAAGATAAAATGTAAGATTCCCAGGCACACATCACTAAATTCTATTCTGGTTAAATTGTGAATTTGCCTCTGAGCTACCTGGTAGTCTAAGCAAAAAGGGAATCAAGCTTCCTTACATGATATGAATTTCCCATTACAAAAAAGAAACCAGTTCCTCAGGGAAAGCACCAAAAACATATCTTTCAGGATTAAGTTAGTGCTGTGTCTGTTTTACAGCAAATGTTGGCTGATATATGAGTCCCATGACCACAAAAATATGAGCATTTTGTAAAGCAGACTCCAGTGTAAGCTGAGACCACGACTGCAAAGAGGACTTCAGTGAAAGCAAAAGGTTCAGAGACGTTGAGGCTTTTGGGGTGGGGCAGGTTGGGATGGAGGACTTCTTCAATATGAGTTATTTTTTTTTACATCATCCTCCCCTTCATCTCCATAACTGATGGTTCCCCATCACCATGCAGAGCCCTAAGCTACCATATCTAGAACAAGGCTGGAAGGGGGAAAATTAATATGAATGCCCCCCGTTTTAGGATCAGGCATCTTGCTGAAAAAATGCTTGGATGATTTATGTGTTTATTACAAAATTCTGTATTTTTGATGCAAACAGATTCTCAGATAATTTATTCACTCTCATGAAATGTCATAAAAAAAACATCGGTTGTTTCAGTAATGGCAGAATTTTATGGTGATATTTTTCATCAAGTTGAGCAGTTATAGATTTATGTTAATGTACATTTTATGTCATTTTTCTTGCAATCATATTCTGACATTATCTGGAAACTGTCAGATTTCAAGAACTTATCTTCCCTAAGCTTGACTTTTTGTTTTTCATTCCCAAAAAATGGGTGAAAGTTTATTTGGCAGCAAAGTATTTACAATACAAGTTATGTGTGATGAACCACTAGCATTAACCACAGATCTAGAAGAAATCATCTTATTTCCAGATAGGGATAGCTATAATTTTCAAATATAGTGTAGCTTATTTTCCTAGAAAAACCAAAGCTGAGAATAAAAGAAGCTAAACTGCATTTTCTCTTTGCTGTAGATGTGAACCAAGCACAAACTCTAAGCCAATTTCCTCTGAAGTGACAAGCATACCATATACAAGAATAAATTTATAAAGAAATACAATAAACCTCCAAGAAAAGAAAAAAAAAAGAGAATTATGCATAGGCTAGTGAACATGTATATCCAGAAACACGAGCTGATTGAAAGGAAGCAAAGTAGAATTCCACAAAATGCCATCAAAAGACCTTTATACTAGTTTGCTTTTAGACGAGTTTAGATGCTGAAGAAATTAGAATCAGAAATGAGTTTAATGTGGGTCAATTCCCTCATTTTACATAAGGAAGCTTAGCAAGGGAAGTGGTTTGCTCAAGGCCATCGGCAAATAGTCACAAGACCAAAGCCAAGGTTTATTCCACTATGGTAATGTTGCCAGGGTTTTCTGTGTTGGCTAGTGTATAAAACGCGTTCTGCAAACTCTCCCTCACATTCCGTAACTAATATCCCATTCATCCAGACTATACAAAGCGCAGGGCCAGAGTGAATTGATAGATGATACTGCTCCCTAGTGGCAGAACTTGGCAACACACAATATTGCAATAATGAGATGTGGTATCTTCTGTCCTTTGCAGAAATAACTCGCCTGAGGTTGCAGAATTGATCATCAATAAATGTAATATTATTCCCCTAGCATTTTTAGATGTAAATGTATTTCGGTCACAACCCGTGACTCGAAAGCAACAGAGACATTGATATAATGCTCATTCGAAGTTAACGTTGACTTCATGAAATCACTCATTAATTGAACTAAAGAACAGTATTTTATCTCACTACCACACAAGAAAAATAATGCAGCTCCGAGAAAAGGAAAGGAATCTGTAACTGCTTAATGTAACAAATTCATTTTCTGATAGAGAGATATGAAGTAGCCACAAATAGGAGACTGAAAAAGTATTTAATAAAAGAAGCTCCAGAAAATGCATATCCCCAAATAATGATTCCCCAGTGAAGATTCGGTTACCAATAGCATTGCAATGTACAGAACTGCCTTTTGCATAGGCAAAATCTGGTCCTCCCCATGAAACCATTTCAGAATGACTAGATATGCATGCATGATGAAAAGCACTTTTTCTTTTCCCTGTAATTTTGGGGTGTTCACTGGAATCAACCATCCCAGTTTGCTCTGGATGGAGGGATTCTTCAAAAGCAGGACATTCCAAATGAAAACCAGAGACGTCTGGGGTAAACTGGAACAAGTGGCCTCTATACCTACATGGTCAGCAGAACGGAAAGGTTATTTTGTTTATTTAATCAAAAGTTTAAAAAAAATAGCAGAATCTCCATGATTCAGCCCCTCCTTGTAACTGAGACACACCATCCCTCACAGATGCTCGAGTGGCCCAGGAGCCTCACCACCTTCCCAGGAAGCGCACGCTACCTTTAAGCGGCCCCAGCCCAGCTGTTTACTTTCAGCTCCATCTGAGAAACGGCAGTGTCTTCCTACAGCCTCCTCCCACTGGTCCTTGCTCTAAGTAAGAAGCAATGAATGAAGCTCTAAGAAGCTCAAAGTAAAGTTATCTGAAACTAATTGTGTGAGCTCTTGAGAGTCATATTAAATAAAAGGGAAAGCCAAGTGTGGTGGCTCATGCCGTAATTCTGGCACTTTGGGAGGTCAAGGCAGGTGGATCACCTGAGGTCAGGAGTTTGAGGACCAGCCTGCCAACATGGTGACACCCCATCTCTTTTAAAAATACCAAAAAAAAAAAAATTAGCTGGGCATGATGGCTTGCACATGTAATTCCAGCTACTCAGGAGACTGAGGCAGGAGAATTGCTTGAGCCTGGGAGCAGAGATTGCAGTAAGCAGAGATTGCACCACTGCACTCCAGCCTAGGCAACAGAGCAAGACTTCGTATCAGAAATAAAATAAAATAAATAAAAGGGAAACTCTGAATGCACTAACCTTGAGAAACACTGAGTTAAACAAAAATAAACAGATTATCTTTACTGCCCAAGTTTTTAGAACATTGTGGATCTCCAGAGGGGGACAGGGCATGGAGCATTTATAACATACATGGCCATGGAAGCTGCTTTTTCTTGGGTCATGTTCTTTGGCCCATGCTCCTTAGAAAATGTTTGAGAAAAGCCTAGACCGACACATATATTAGTTTCAGTTCTAGGTTCACAGTACATTTCCCACTCAGAGTGGTTTCTCGGGTGTTATAAATGATCCATTGTTTGGGGCGGATATTCCTCAATCTATGAAAGCCACATCTATAGACATCTTGCGGACATAACTGCTTCCGCCCTGCGTGCTCTCC